TTGTCTCTTTAAATTAACTGAGTAGCTGAAAAGTAAACATCTATGCTTTTCAGTGAGTGGGAAATGACTCTTCATAATAATAGGCCTTAGGGAAAGATTGTGATAGAAACACAATGCTCAAAAATTCACAATATATGAATAACCACTGAACTTTGCACTTTAAGTAGATAAATTGCATGGCATATGAATTATATCCCAATAAAGCCATTATTGGAAAGAAAAATATGACACCAAAATCATTTATCAATTTTGGTTTTCAACCTGAGCTGGCCAGGAATGGATTCCTTAAAGTTTTGTGTTCTTTTAAATTTATTGTAGCCTTCTAAAACATATACAATGTATGACCAAAAAGATGGTGAAGACCTAAGTGGCTGGCTTTGCTCACTACCTGTGGCTTTCTCTGTTTGTTTCATATTCCTTGCTTCTCCAGCCTTCTAGAATCTCCACTGTACTTTTGGCTTCAGTCTCACAGCTTCACATACTGCCCTCTTATTACCGACAGCTGAGTTAGGCACAAATATAGTAGCCAATCAGGCAGGGCTGGGCCCTCAAGGAAGTCAATGCAATAGAAAACATTCATCAGGATGGTGGCTGGAGACACATTTGAAGAGTCAAGTCATAATAGCTAGTTTTACATATTTCCCTAAGGGATGTGCAGAAGTTTGGGATTATTGATTGGTATTACCCTTTTAAGATTTCCCATTTTCTCATTAGGGTTAAACATCCTCTCCAACCTACTAAGACTAAGACCACTAAGACGAAAGCTAACACTAATACTAAAACTATTAAAACTAAAAACATGACTAAGGCAACAGATTATCGATCAAGCATGATGATACCCATGTATTTTTGCTACCCTAGATCAATATTACCTAAGTGACTAAATTGCAATGTTACTGGTTGATCATAATTTTGATCCATGTTGTACCCACCTCATGATTTTGTTCTATAAAACTTTCTTTGAGAGGTGAGCAGGGAACCCGTTAGGGACCCCTCGTACCTCTCAGGAACTATTCCTAATCCCCATTCTTCCATCCCTATTCCCCATTCCTTTTCTCTAATAAATTTTCCTACTTCTAACCTCCATTGTTCCTTAGAATTCATTCTTTGACTTCAAAGGACACAAACTTGGGTATTTGATTTCTAGCATTTCCCCATGTCGCTCTCGAGCATATTCCATCTAGCATCACCAGCCTTCTGAAATCTGCATAGAAGCCTCCCTGTCTCCATCCCTCTTGATTTCAGCATGTTTGCAAGATCATCACCACATAGATGACACCAAAATCTGCCACTAGCTCCAGAATTAGCCAGGCACTTCTGCATCATGGCTGCAGAGGCCTCTGAATGTCTACATGGCTGAGCATTGTGAACCAAATCCCAGGCTATGAATTTCCCAGTCGGCCTTTCTCAAATAAGGAACCCTGAGCCTCTCTTCTCAAAACAAAGTCTTTTATATTTTTTTCAATTAATTAAGTTTACTGGTACATTTTAGATATACTTAATGATCCCACTCATCATAGGGATCTATGAACTTCTATAAAGCTTATCTTGATTCTTTTATCTTACCATTCACTCACCCTCTCTTCAACCCCTCTTCCCCTCTTTATTTAAAAAACCTTTGTTTCCATTCTCCCCTTTTTTCTCTCCCCTCCCCACAACTCCTTCCCACTTGAACACATTTTTCCTTTTTCATATTAACTATTGTAGATTTGGTCCTTACTTATCCTTTTGGTTTCTCAAACCAGAGAAACAATGCAGTTTTTACATGTGTCCAGTTGCTTTCACTTAAGAGTATGCACTCAAAGAAAACCTTTCATTTTTGCATGCTTGAGCCTATGAAGCATGGAGTCTTGCTGTTCCTTTCATGCCTTCAGGGAACATTCCTTATTGTCCTGGTGTGAAGTAATTGGCTTCTTTTTAATGCTAATGTTTCAGCAACCAAACACTTTGGTTTACAACCTGGTCCAAGTTTACAGCCCCTTTTTTCTGACAAAGCAGAGAACTTACAAAATGAGTCATTTGCTCCTGGTTTTTAGAGTAAACCTGACTAAATGCAGCAAGCAGTATTCACGCAACAGCCTGTATACTGGGCTGTCTTGAAATTTTCTTTTAAAGACCACCAGCCTTAACTGCAGTCACCTGCAAAGTCTCAGGACATGAAGAAAATGTAGACAAATTTTTTGTCACAGTATAACACAGATGGACTGGAGTTCAACTGTCAATGGAGTCCTTATTCCCAACTGAAACATCAGCCTCTTCTTTAGTGCATGCCTTTTAATCAGCATTCTGGCTTCTGAGCTTTGACCAGAATCTCCCACTAAGCTCAGCTCACAGCATTCTAGGGCTTCTGTAGTCAGCATCTCCAAATTTTTCCAGACTCCTCCACTAAAAGAGCTGTACAGGCTTCTAAATCACAGGGTCAGGTACAGGCCTAACAATTTCCACACTCTTGGTATAAGAAGCTGTCTTTCTTTCTTTATTGCTGGGACAAAATATCTGACACCAATAGTTCAAAGAAGAAAAGGTATATTTTGGGTCACATGTTAGAAGTTTTGGTCCTACATAGTCTACAACATGGTGGAAGGGGCTGGGCAGAGGAAAGCTGCTCAACTCATAATAGACAGGCGGTAAAGAGCAAAGAGAAGGGCAAAGGAAAGCCCCATCCTTGAGTGCATGAGGACTAGAGGTAACATCCAGATATAAACCACAACAGGCATTTTGTTAGAAAGATGGGAAAGTGACTAATACACACATTATATATGCATACTTAAATGTCATACTGTATGAATATAAAACATATTTTTTTAAATTTTGATACAAATATCTGGGAAGTACATAGAGAACATGAGGTCTACCTATCCCTTCATAAAAATCTAGGTTTACAGTTGATTTCCCATTAACACAAGGCGTTTTGAAATCCTGTGTTCCTTACATTGTTTTATTCTGATCTGCTTTGTTCTGTTTTGTTTTGTTCTAGTCTCTTTAAAATAAATTTTAAAATATTTTTTTTAAATCTAAGTTTATCCCAGAATAAAACCCTACCATCAAACCCCAGGGTCTTAGCATCTTAGTATGTCCTAAAACACTTACGGTAAGGACAATTACAACTATAACAAGCCATTTCAGAAAGCATCTCAAGACCAGGCACTGCTGTGTGTACTATGGGATAGTACTGAGGATGCTCTCCTATTGCTAGTCTTAAAACTTATCCACATTTCTATGTGATACACTCAGAAGACATTTCCCTCAGAAGTTAATGCCAGGAAGAGTTTCTCTAAAGAACCAGTGTGTTTTACCATTTTGTGTCACTGAACTGTGTGATTTGATCATTCCTTTTAATGATGACTTCCATATGCAGCTTAATGAAACACAAAGGTCCCTTCAAGGGTCCAACAATGTCCATATCAGGTGTTCCTCCATGGCAACTGTCTACTTCAGATTGTATTTTATTTTCCAATCATTATTCTTATGCTTGCTTCAAATGTTTCATGGATACTTAATGATAATAAATGAAGAAATAAATTAATACACTTATGTAAAAGAACAGGTTTCCTAAGAGGACTGCAGAATTGCCAGCACTTGGAATAAAAATGCCCAATAAACATTGGTTACTGTGAATTGGTATGTTTATTCTCAAAGATTGTTGCATTTTTACATTTCTCCTCTTAGGTAAATGTTATGGCTTAGATTGAGAATGTCCCCATCAATGCCTCATGCACTCAAAGGTGTGGCTTTTGGAAGGTGACTGGATCACAGAGGCACTACAGCTGATGAACAGTGTGGTAGAAGAGGAGGTGGGGTCTGGTTGGCAGAGGCAATAGGTATGACCTGGAAGGATTCTTTCCCTTTCTCTCTCCACTTCCTGGCAAGCATAATGGGAGCAGTTCTCCTCTCCTTTGACCATTAAGACTTTTCCTGGTAGAGCCAGTTAACTATAAACTGAAACTTCTAAAAGCTCTGAACCCAGATAAACCTTTCCTCCTTTAGGCTGTGCCTCAAGTATTGTGCCTCAGAAGGAAGTAATCAAGACAGTAAGAAAAAATAAAACATAAAAGAAACTAAAACAAGGCAACATTTCATATATATATAAATTTTAAGTAATAGATTTACTAATTTCTTGCCTTTGTTTTTTTCTGCCTTGCCTGAAATTCCCCAATGCTCTTTTTAATATGTACTGTAACACATCGTTAATTTTTAAAGGTATTATTAAAACTCAGCTATTCACAGAAAACTTACAAAAGAGGACTCAACAACACTTTAGAAACTACTCAAAATTGTGGACAAACTTTATATCCTGGGAGTAAGAGAATGAATAAATTTGTTAATCTCGTTAAAATACTAACATTAGCAAATTAATCCTCTGCCTGTACTAGCTCCCATGCTCGCTAAGTTTACACTTTATCCAACCAGTTTATCTTCACACCTTTGCAGAAGGCAAGAGCTTTCCCTCAGCCCGCCCAGATCAGGCTTCTAGACCCAGAATTAGTTGCACCGCCCAATTGTTTGAAAGAAAAAAAAAAAAAAAAAACACTGAATTTTCATTTCTATTTCATAGTTTCCTTCGAAGGTCCACAAACTCGGCCAACTCTGCTGAACAGTGTGCAGTTTCCTAACGAAACGCACACACACGAAGCCCACTCTTCCCGCCCACCTCCACAGCCAGCGCTCGCTCCCGGCTCAGCAGCGGTTCCCGCCGCCCAGGGATCCGGCTCGCGGTGCCCAGGGGCAGAGCACGCACCGTCGGACAGAGCAGGACGAACCACCCCGATCTCCGGACCCGCCCACAGCGGCAGCTTCCCGGCGACCAGGACCCCAAGCATCTGCCTCGTGGCGCCCGCAGACCTCCCCGAGCGGCCCCGCTCCGCTCCCGGCTGCCTCCTCCCCTCGTCCCCGCCTCCGTCGTCGGGGCTGCGGCTCCCTCTGCCCTCCTGCTCGTCCGTCCGCGCGGCACAGGGCGCGGCCGCAGCCCCTTCCCGTCCCCTCCCCGGCCGGGCACTCACCGCGGGCGGGCCGGGGCAGCGCGGATGTCGCGGCTTCTTTCTGCTCCTTTTGCTGCAGGCGGCGGCCTGGACTTCACCACCGGGTCCGGGGTCCGGCGGAGGCGGAAGGCGTGGCGCCGCCTGGCGGCTGCGGTGAACACTCGGGGCGTCCTGGGCCCGGAGTTGCGGAGGAGCAGATCTGGGCAGCACAGATCCGAAACCCCCGCCTCCGGGTTTCCGAACCACACCGCCTTAGCCGCGCCTCTCTTCTACTGTACTTCTTGTCCTTTTCACTTGCGGTTTTCTCTAGAAGCTTGCTTGAACCGTGTCCTCACTGTGGATGTTTGTGTTTCTCTACAAGATCTTTGCTTTCAGATTGCCACTCTCTTCAGCCTCATCAAGTCGATTATGATTCTCATAAAGGCCTCTAGCTCTAATGTTCTCTTTCTGTTTGTTCATCCTGCTGTGCAAGAAAAGTTAATCAACAACACTTGTTAAAAATGGAGGAAGGTAGACTTGATGAGGACACATGGGAACTGATAGTCAAGAAGCAAGATGAGGGGGCTGGGGATTTAGATCAGCGGGATAAGCATCTGCTTTGCAAGCTGGCAGTCCAGAGTTTGATGCCCGGTACCGGTTAAAAAAAATTTTTTTTAATTAAAAAAAAAAGAAGCAAGATGAGGTCATTGGATGGAAGATGGTGAAAAGGAAATACTAGGAGTCACAGATTCTAATCCACTTGAGATTATTCTTGCTGAAGAAAGGCCAGAGTGATCAGACATCACCTAAAGAATGGTGGAGGATGAGAAACTGAATCAGATAGATAGATTGATAGATAGACAGACAGACAGATACTTTGGAGGGGAAGACTGGGAATTGAATTCAGGCACTTGCCAAACAGGTGCTGCACCAGAGTCGTGTCCCCAGCCCTGAATCAGATGTTGATGGTGATCAAACACTCAAGGTAGATTATTCCTAAACTGACTTAGTAGCTTCCTTACAAAAGCTAGAATCTTAGAGAATGTTTTGGAACCCGACTACAGTTTAACCAAGCAAAGAATCATTGTGTTAGGTAAACCAAGGCATAATGAAACCACTGAGACAGGCAGAGTTCAAGCAATGTGCAAGGACTTTATTGCAAGCCAAGTGCAGCCAGGCCAAAGGTGAAAAGGCCCTCAGCGGTGAGCAAGGGGTGAGGGCATACTTTAAGTGGGAGTTTAGGAACAGGCAGAGGTGTTGCCGAGGGGGATACAAAATTGTGGGTCTCTAAGTAGGAGGTCTTAGGCTAGCTGGTAGGATTATGTTGGGTACAGGGGATGCTGGCAGGCACAGCATGTTTCTTGTGGTTTTTCCTGTGAAAAATGCTGGCTTCACTGTGGCATGTGGAATCTCACATGAAAGTATTTCATTGCTAACATCTTTACAGATATACTCTTGACCATTGAGAAATTGTATCTTTTTCACCTAGGCACATATCCAAGCCTTGAAAAGATAGTAGCCAAACCAAAGGCTGAGGTCCTCCTGTCTGATAGAGAAAAAAGAATGTTGGTGTCAGCCCCACACGGAGGGTTGTTGCCTATGTTCTTCAAATAGAACTCAGCCCTGTAGCCCCTGAGTTTTTGTAGAGAAGAAGAAAGTTTATGCCAGAGGATATAGCCTGCCTATGCTGGCTAAAGAGGTGAGCATGTAGGAACAGGAGACATAGGGTTTGCCACAGAGTATACCAAATCCACATTTATCAACATTCTAGATGTAGTTCTACATTTCAGGCATAAATGAGTTGTGCAAAGGGGCACATATGTGGTGAATGGGGGCTGATAAGGATTCTCCTGAGTCCTAGGGACAGAAACTGGATCCAGGATAGAGGGTCATGGATCCCACCCCTTCATTTATCACCAATGTAACCCCAAAGCTGAGTCTGTGGAAAAGAGAGTTCTGGTGTGATCTAAGAGTCTAGCCTCAAGCCTCAGACACCAGGTGTGGTTAGAACTAAGAAGGGAGCCAAATCCAGGGGAAGCCTGTTTCCCCACCTCTCTCATCAACCATATCACCTATCTGAGTGTGCCTGTGGGCTTTGAAATGATTGCACACAGGCCAGCAAAAGTGAGAAGGAAGGGTGTTCCATCACTAGGACAAAATAGCTGATGCTCACAACTGATTTTGCTTTTACTCAAAAGCACAGGCTCCTTGGCACAAGGCTCCTGCCCTGGGCCTGGAAAAGTGATGTGGCTGGGCCAGTACTGGTCTCACTATGTCTGCCATTTTCAATTTCCGGAGTTCATCGAATATGATTTTGCTGCTTCTATGTACCTGTGCTTATATCTGATTCATGGCACCCAGTATCCTGGACAAAAGCAAAATCAGTCTATTGGGAATATTTTGGAAGAATTCCAGAACTGGTGAATGAAAGCTTGGGGAAATGCTAGAATTCGATTGCCAGTGGATTTCAGTATGGACAAGAATTTATCTGCAGAAAATAATGGAAACCGTGGTTAACCCTTTTATCTCTGAACACTGAGTGAGATAAATTTCCAGACACTGTTCTCTACTTTTATGTTACTGGACCAATCTTCTATATAAATAATTAAGATGTAAGCATTTAGTATGGAAAGAGTTCATTAGTCCTTAGCAGTTAACCTCAACACTGTCACGACAATATTACATTCTGAAAATGTTATTGTGTCATGTCAGATACCAACTTTTAGTAAGATATCTTTAAGCAACAAAACCAATAAATTACTCAAATTTGTTTCATTGTGATTTGGAATTTTACTCTTTATAGAATAAGCCTCTTTTGTGGATTAGCTTTTTTACTAGGAAAAGGTGGTTTTTATTTTGTGCTGCGATGACTCATATTGAATAATGCTCTTCCTCTGACCACACCATTTTCATCATTAATCAGAATACCTCTACTTTCATCAAATTCTATAATTTATTATGGGTAATAAAAATATTTATGCAGTTCCTACAGGAGGAAGATAAATTAGATGTGACAAAAGTAGTATGGGGAAAATGTTCATTTAACAGAAAAGATTTAGCCAGCAGACATCATAACCTCTAACACCTCTGGCCAAGTGCACACAGTGGCTGTCAGTGTGAAACTGAGTGGTTGGCAGTCATTCTCTGAAAATGACAGCACTTTCAGAATAAAAGAGAAAAATAGAACAATTATAAAACAAGAATCCTATCCTCAGTTTGTATTTATAATGTGAAGTCCTCAAAAAGCAACACTTACTTTAATTGCTCCAAAACAAACTAAAGTTTTGTTTTGTTTTTTAATAGAGCACTTTAAAACTAGTTTGTCATCCACTTTACCTAGAGTCTCTCATGTGACCTTGAGTGCTAACCATGCCTTAGGTCTGGGTGAGGTGTCATGTACATCTTGAAGGCCCAGCGGTTTTCCATCCAGACAAGAAAATTCCTGGAAATGTGACTACAGACTTTTATAAGTTTTGTAAGTTTATAATTAACATTTCTTAAGATTTAACTGAAATTCAGTTACTACTTCAAAGCTAAAAGGAAATTAAATCTTAACTAAAAATATTATAGGTACTATTTACTTCATATGCTTGTTCTCAATTGAAGTTCTTATGAAGACTGAAAAAAAGAACAAGAAGAAGAAGCTTCCTTTGGATCACACTTTCAGTGAATTCAGTACATAATTGGCTGACTCCAACGCAAAAACTGCAAGTCAGAACAACACAGTGGAGGAAAGCTAATCAGCACACAAGTGCCAAGAAACAGAAAGACCTTGGGATGAGAATGCCCCACTCATGTCATGCTCATCCCTTCCAACTAGCCTCCACTTGCAGATGTTAAACTTTTAGCAGGCATTTTAGATCTAAACTGTAACATCCTGCCTCTGGACCCCAAAGCCTGGATCTATCTTACTATGCAAAATGAACTTTAGTTCACCTCATAGAGTTGCTGGAGTCTTAACAATTCCGCCACTGCTCAGAGTAGAAGTTCAGGGTCTCTTCTGAGATCCAAGGCAAACTCTGAATTGTAAACCCTTTTGAAAATCAAAAATAAAGTACTTCCTCCACACAATGGCACAAGGTAAATATTTCCATTCCAAAAAGGGGAAACAAGATAACACAAAGAATCTGAACAAAAACAAGACCAAAACCCAGGAGAGCAATAACTACATTCTGCAGCTGCATGTTTAACACCTATTGCAGGATGTGGTGAGGTATGAGCTCGACAGGATATTCTTTGCCTGTGGCAGTCCATGTGGCCTCTTTCTTGGGCTGACTCTACACACTGCCTGAGGTTTTCTTAAACAGAGAGTCCAAGTTTCTAGCATTCTCAACTTCCTTAGGTCTCTATTGTAACTTTGGTTTCACTCACAGCTCCACACATAGGCATTTCATGGGCTCCTGGTGGGGACTGTGACAGTTTCATAGATTTTTGCCTGATCTCCCAGGTCTTCTTCTGACATTCAGCTGTAAGCCTGATGACCTTGTAACTCATGCATTTTGCATACCTGAAAAACAGCACTATGTGGGTGACACCAGGAGCAGTCACAAGCTTCAGCAGTAGCTGGGCTTTGTGGGCCATGGCTGTAGCAGTCTCTGAATGTCACAAATGAGAGCATGGCCCAGTGACTCTTTTCTCAAAGGAAAGATACATTGTTTTTCACCAATATACCTATAGTATGTGGGATCTTTCTCATTTCTTAGATGCCCTCAAGATATCATCTCATCCCCATACAAAGTATTTGGTTTCTTTTTAAATTTTTTTTTCCAGCACCCATGCTCTGCTTTGCTTCACCCTTGCAGATACTTCCTTTCAGGTGAAACTGTAAACTTTTAGAATATTTCAGCTATGCTTTTTGCTCCTGCTTCACTGTAGAGCTGGGTGAAAGCAATATTCATGCCAAAGCCTAGGCTAAAACTTACTCTTCCAGATTAACTAATAAATCATCCTTAATATGTAAACAAATTTGCTGTCAGAATGTGACACACATAGCCTCTAGTTCAACTGCCAGTGGATCCCTTGTTCTCATGAAATCTCCTGAGCCTGTCCTTTACTTGTAAGAACAGTTGTGACTCCATTGTGTTTTTTGTCTCCATTTTAGCTGGAAGTAAAACTTTAGATGTACCCGTTCCCAAAAAATCCTCTTCCCCAGTTAACTATAAACCCACAAAGGGAAAGCA